GAATCTCCAAAGAAAACTTGCCTACCTTAGCGCCCGTGCCATGCTCTCCCAGACCTGGAGTAGCAGCACCCGGTCCGGCATCTGTGGGCATCTTGCAGCTCACTGCCGACCACGCTATCGGCCCTCTCCTGACGTACCCACCGGCCGTATGTGGTCTTGGTCGGGTATGGATGGTGTACAGCTGAAGTAGTGGTGGCCGAGCGGCGTCTGCTGTGACCATCTGGGAGCCGAGCCTCAGCTCCTTATGCGTCTCCGGCGCGAGGCCGCCTCCGGAACCCGGAAGTGGTGCACCGGAAGCGCGTCACCGCATTCGACAACGCGGCGCGCAATCCAGGCGACGACGGCGCCCTACAGTGACGTCACCCGCCACATTCCCAGCCTTTCACCACAGACGCCGCAGCCCCCCGCACGAGGCCAACACCCCCACGCTTCCGCAGACTGACACCGCTCCCCCTACCAACAGGTAAGTGTCCTCATGCTGCCGAGGTAGCCGGAACCCCTGGACTCCTCCAGCCTCCCCGTACCTCCTCCTATGCTGCCCCTGTTGTTGCCAGACTAATGTCCACAACCTGGGCTCAAGCATAGCTTAGGTTATCACACCTTGCCACTGCTGTACACCATCTGGCGCCTACTCACGTGCAGGAGGATGGTTGCCTTCCCTGAGTGATGGAAGGGAACTTTGGCCAAGAATCAGATGGGGGTCCGATAGGGAAGCCCTGTATGCGCTGCAGCAGGTAATCCTGGAGTAGGTCCCAACGCATAGCAGGGTAAGGCTCAGCCCTAAGGCAAACAAATATGAGCCCTAAAAACAACAAACATTACGATGTCCCTGTGTAGCCGGCGGAAACACAAAAAAACTGACTTGGGATAGAAGGAGTCTTATGCGAGCGGTAGTCAGAATGAAACCCCCGAAAAGTAAAGTTGTGCCAAACTGGGATCTCTCGGTGGTGCTACAAGGGTTTCTCAAGCAGCCTTTCGAGCCCCTGGGGGGGTGTTCCATTCAGCATCTGACGATGAACAGCTTGTGTGGGTGATGTGTTTCCTGTTCCGGTGGGAGGAGCCTATCTCTCTAATGCTGTCCTGGAAGGTGACTAGAGAAAAAGCATTCTACATTTATGATGCACTGACCTGCAGATAGCCATTCCAATAGAGTTCATAAACGCAACATACCTAAAATGTCCACCAATGCATGAGTTCTGGTGTAAACAAACCCCAATACAAGGAATCTGGACAACTGTTCGATAGGCCCCCAACTTTTCATAAAACTTTCCCTAGAGAATCCCGTAAATGGACAGTTCTTAATGGCAGCAGTGTTATTCCTCTCCGTCAGCTCATGTGTCTGGTTATGCAATCATCTTTCAGTTATTTGACTTCAGTAAACCTAAACCCTATTGTGTTTGCTCTTTGCACTTCCCTGCTATAAAAGCCCCACTGTCTATTAACTGCTGCAATAAAATGACACCTTGCAGCAGAGTACAAAGTTTAAAGGAGTTCAACTCTTCATAGCTGGTAACTCAGTTGCAGTACACACTTCGACCAGCAGGTGTCTCCATTGCACACTTCCACAAGCTTAGCCTATGGATGGAGTGTTCAGGGTTTATCTAATCAAGTTGCATGAAATTTGGTAAAAGAAATGGCAAGAATGACTAAAATGTGCTAATGGTTCTCTCTTTATTATACACCGTAACAACAAAGCTTCTAATTCACTCCCTTGTAATCTCTCGCCTCGACTACTGTAACTCCCCTCATTGGCCTACCACTAAGCAGGCTATCCCCCCGCTTCAGTCTATCATGAATGCTGCTGCCAGACTCATTCACCTCACCAACCGTTCAGTGACTGCCGCCCCTCTGCCAATCCCTCCACTGGCTTCCACTTACCCAATGAACAAAATACTAACAACTTACAAAACCATCTACAACAGTGTCCCCCATCCTCAGGAACTCCTTACCCCATTCTGTCCACCTATCTCCTACGCTGCCCACCTTTAGGCGATCCTTAATAACCCATCTCTTCAGGGAAGCTTACCTCATCTCAACATTTTACTTCCTCCAATAACTCAATCCAAACAATTACTACCTTTTGTATCACTTGCCCCTCCTACTAGATCGTACAGGGCCCTCCCAACCCTATTGTTCTGAAACTGTATTGTACTGTAACTGTACTGTCTCCACTATTTTGTAAAGCGCTGAACAAATTGTTGGCGCTATACTGTATAACAGTGGGCTAGACCTTGCTTTTAGCAGTCCATGAGCCGTATTAGCCCTTAAACTGACACTAAACTCAGGAGCCAAGTACCTGAACTATCAACAGAAATGGCTCTTATCTGTGTATCACTCAGCTAGGCTTGCAAATCTGGGAAGTCCATCCTTCAAACTATAGGCATGAATAACCACCTATCAATGGCGGAATGAGAAACAGGAAGACCCCTCTGGAAGCACAGGCAATCCAATTGCTGGAAAGCGGTAGTAGTAGAGGTACACACAAAACATGTGTAGCCCATCCAGGTACTGAAGCAAACCTCCGGGCCTGATGTGCTGGTTGGTCTATTGCGATCCACAGCCGTTTGGCCATTAAATCTCCTCACCAAGCTCACCGCATGGCGTTATAAATGAAAACAAGCACATAATATAAAAACACTTAAAAAGCTTTATTAAAAAAAAAAAAAAAACATACAATAGTATGCAGTGATAGTCCAACAGTAGGCAGATATAAACACAGGTTGAACTGAGCACTTCCAAGCAGCAGACCCTCTGTCCATTCATGTCTGAGAGAACTCCACCCTACATACGTTTCATCAATCAAGACCTTATGTGCATCCTGATGAAACATGCGTAGGGCAGAGTTCTCTCGGACATCGGTGCAGCTGCTTGGAAGTGCTCACAGTTTAAGCTGTGCTTATATCGGATTACTGTTGGACTATCACTGCATTGGAAGGTTTTTTTTTTTTTATTGGTGTGCACTTTTCCTCATTTATGATACCACATCATGGGGAGAGCTGGCTGAGAAGATTGCTATAGACTAGAGCAGGGGTAGGCAACCTTGGCTCTCTAGCTGTGCTGAAATTACAAATCCCATGAGGCATTGCAAGCCACAGGCATGACTCCGAGGCAGAAGCATGATGGGATTTGTAGTTTCAGCAAAGCTGGGAGCCATGGTTGCCCAACCCTGGACCAGAGAGATCAGAGCTGTACAGAACATACAATGAGCTTGAAATAGGAGCCAAAGCTGTAAACATCAGCGTTGCACCATCAGATGAGCAATCATCTTCAACTGCACAGTGAGGGGTGTCCCATCCGGCAAAGGGATCAGCATTAGACGTACTTATTAGGTCACAGGAGAAGGTGAGAGCGTCACTGAATAGGGCTAACACTAAAGACACTGACTGAGGTGGATGTGTGATGTATTCCTTTTCTTGAGTACTATATTTCAGACACTGGATCTTTGTTTTTTGGACTTTACACTTGTAACACTTATTCGTACCAGTTTGATACATTTTATGATCATTGAATATATAGTCACATTGTTTTGAATGTGGCTCGGTACTATATTGTTCTATTGTGTTTTATGTAGAGTATCACTTATTTGGGTGTACTTGTGAATGCTTTGTACCCCTTCGTTTTTAGTTCATAGCGCACAGTGTATACATTGTTTAATATGCCATCACTATGCCTAGGTAAGCAGCCAACAGGATTCCGTGCCCAAAAGGAGAAGAGTACTTCTGTGCTCTTCTGAATGCTGCAGCCCATCCTGGAGTAACTTTATGCATTTCCATGTTTCTGGTGGACAGCCCACCTGCGCCATGGAAATACATGACTGAAAATGTGAAGGCACCCAGGCATTACCAGAGGGAACCCTGGTTGAGAAAGACTGCCAGGGGCAAAGAAAATATCCAGAGTACCAGGAAAAGGAAAGGTACACCTATGCCAGCAGGGAGGGGACATTAAAGCAAACTTGCACTTTGAAGGGAACATTGTAGAAAGTAGGGTAGGGATGCCCCGATACCAAGTACAGATACATTTCCAGCTCCAGGACTAGAGAAAAATTCAAAAGTTAGGAGGCAGCTGTCATTTGTAAGGAGCACACGGAGCTCCTGGGATTTGGACATCTGTTTTATTGTATGATTTGTTCTATATATATAAGGGATGCACCAATACCATTTTTGCATGTACAAGTACTGATAACATTTGTTTGTCATGTGACAGTCTCTCTAAAACAATACAGACTAATGATTTCAGGACAGTGGTGGAGCGCCAGAGCCAGGTCCCAGCTGCAACCCTGGTAGTTCATGAAAATGGCAGGTATCGGCACCGGTATCTGAAAAGTATCGGTGCATCCCTAGTAGAAAGCCATTTTATCATTTAAAATGGCTTTCCATTCCAAACCACAGCCAGCTCTGATGATTTCTATACTTGTCAATGCAGGTGTTTTACTCCGAACAAACCAGCTCTATAAATGCCGTCATGCAAAAATGAAGCACCTGCAGTTGGGGTTTGATGCATAAAGCCTTAGAATTCTTACCGAGGATGTAGACACACAGGTTCAATTAACAGCACTGATCCTATAGTAGAAGGCCGGTCCACATTAAGCATAATCTAGATTTAAAGCAGAGACCTGTCTTTGCATCCACACAAAAGAGCATCTAGTGTGCTAATATCTTTGCAATAGATTACAGTGCATACCTTTTTCATTAAGAGGCCTCCAAGACCGGTTCCCACAAAACAAACCTGCACCGAGTGTGTATGCTGCCATTGCAACCTTCTGAAAATGTTGGTGGACCTGGCTGGGTCCAATACAGTCGCTGACCTTGATAAAGTACAGATTCAGTAAAGTCTGAACGTGGAACAAGTATACAGATCAGAAATCCTGACATCGGAGCATCTGCCTTTCAGCCATGAACTTGCCTAATAGCTGCAATGAGTAGAAGTCACAACTTATGACATCTGTTCTAGCCCTTTAATTAAAAAAAGTTCCACGCACAAATTGTTTAAAGTAATTTTTATTAAAGCAAGAATTTTATAATCCAAATTATGTTTCATGCTCAGCTATCTTTCCCACAAGATACCGACTGTGGCGAAAATCTGAGCTTTTCCACAGTAAAGAATTACAAAAATCAAAGAAAGGAATGCTTAACTTTCCGTACTGTGTTCAAAATGCCTTTCCCCGGGTCTAAAAAAACCATTTCATTTGTTTTTTTATTTTACAATTTTTTTGTGTTTTATTTTTACATATATCTAGGACCAGCAGCAGTAGTGCCAGACCTGGCATTTGTTACGTACGTAAGCATGGTAGTTTCCTTTCCTTTTTTATGATTTTTTATTAGGTTTTTGCGGTGTTTTTACAAGATTTAATTTTTTTTCAATGTTTTCATAGATTTTTCTACTATGAAGGAACTTTAATGGTGGTAATTGAAGTTCTTTTAAGACCCCGATGTGAACTTTGATGGTATCTAAAGTTCTCTGAAGGCCCCGATTTAACCCAGAGTTGTCTGAATTTCGTTGAAGACACTGATGTGATCAATAACGCTGCTCAAAGTTTTTCCAAATTCTGAACTTCAGTGGTTTCATATAAATAAACGGAACTCCTTGGATGGTCATCTGAAGTTCTCTGAAGCTCTTGAAGGCCTGGGGGAAATAAAGCACCAATTACAAATCCTGAAATAAAGAGGAAATTAGCTATAAAAAAAAAGGTTCAAAAAAGGGCCGGCAGAGGGCAAAGGGCTGGTCACCAGTATTACCTGTGGTCTCTGCAGCTGATCTTATCCCTTTACTAACTTACCACACGTCTGTATGCAAGGCGGCCATCATGGTAGAGGCAAGGCATTAAGGCATGTTATTCTGAAATCTAGTATTTCACGTTTACTGGGTATTGGCCACATTTTCCCCTTTTCAAGCACTTATAAGGACATAATTAAAGCAGTGAATGTGAAAATATATATTACTAGTCCTTAGATGTGATTGTATTGTTTTTCAATTAGTTGATCCTTCCAGTAACCATTACAGGTCTAGTATGAAAGCACTCAATGTACTGCATCTATGGAGGAGAAGCATTTTCCCCCTAGGCTACTTATTCTTGATTTGGACTACAGAACAGCTCCATCACCTAAATAGGTGTTCTGTAGTTCTGGGCAAGGTTGATAATACTGCTTGAGACTTTGCAAACCGATAAAATGCTTTGAAATAAAAATCTGACATGTCTTTCAGCACACACACCAAGGTGATGTGTGCAAACTAAAGCTATAGGACATAAGGTGGTTGTTTTGCCCAATGCTGTGGGGGCGAATATGCCCAATGCTGCGGGTTTGAATATGCCCAATGCTGCGGGTTTGAATATGCCCAATGCTGCGGGTTTGAATATGCCCAATGCTCCGGGTGTGAATGAGCCCTCAGCAAGACCACACATACAGGAGAACAGAAAGTAAACTTTTGGCAAAAGGTTAGCTCATTGGTGTCACAGGACTGACAGATGAGGAACTCAAAGATAGAAGTCACTGGTCTCCCCAACCACTGAAGGGGCTACTGTACTGTCATGTGACAAACTGAGGTAATGTAACTAAACTAACATTTCTGCACTTTGGTAATGCCGGAAATCTGTCTTATACAACCGGTTAGTATTATCAAACCACCATATGAAGGGAGCACACAAGTGAGCTGAACCATGACTATACAGTATAGAATAGCAGGACAAACACTAAGTCAGGATTGCACAGCACATACAACAGTTTAAAAAAAATAATTTCCTATAATACATGGCAATACACAACACTAACAAATATAATATCAGAAAACTATGGGGTACACCTTACCATTTTTACGTTTCTTTAGGATACAGGAGTACGCTTTGCAATATACACATGTAATCAAAAATGCCCCATAATCTTAAAATTCAGTGTGATATACTGTGAGCGGAGCTAAGCTCTGTGCTGAGAAGCAACCCAGACAATACTGTCTGGATCCTTCTCGCCCATGGAGTGACAGCAGCCTGTAGGAGCTGCTGCGTGTTCATAAGAACCTATGCAGACGCTGAGGGCACATCCTATCAAAGTTTATTCATGTCAGGTTACGTCTACGAACCCTTACACATCCCAGTGTCTTTCGTCCCCCCTCCCCTCCACACTGCTGTCTCCAGACAATACACATACCACATTCGCACCAAGACTAAGTTCGGCTCCCCCTCCACTCTGCTCTATTGGGACATACACAGGGAGAAGCTATAATGACAGCAGAGTGAAGGAGAGGGGGGGGGGGCATGGACAAAGCTGAACTGAGGGGAGGGGGAACGAAAACCTGATGGATGTGTAAGTGTTAACTCTGATAGGATGTGCCCTGAGCTGCATGCATCTGCACAGGTTCTCATGAACATGCAGCAGCTCCTAAAAGCTGCGGTCACTCAATGGGAGAAGACGATCTAGGCAGTATTGTCGGCCTTGTTTTTCAATACAGAACTTAGCTCCGCCCACAGTATATCACTGAATTGTAAGCTTATGAGGCATTTTTGATTACATGAATAATTGCAAAACGTACTCCTGTATCATAAGGAAACTAAAAAGCAAAAAGTGTACCCCATAGTTCTCATTTAACACACCTGGAGAGTCCACCCCTTACAATCATTAGGTTACCAGGGTTGTATGACAACAACCTCCTTTGCCGGTTGCAAATTCCCCACTATAGGCTTATTTTTATCCCTCTTTTAACTGCAATAGGAAATATCTTCACAGTACCAAGAAATTTGGACCAAGTCTTCACGCTGCCAGCAAAACCTTTTCTGAGATACTTTAAACTTGGTTCTCTGCATATGCAACTCTCTGCTTTCATTTTTTTTTTAATTCATTGCAGAGGGAAAGAAAACTTAATACATATGAAGTGTAATCAGCTTCTCTTTCCCCATTCCCGCTCTTTACCATCACTACTTGCAGAATACAGACTAAAGTGCTCAGAGGTAATAGGCATAGGTTTTAAATGCTTCAACTGCATGTTCTATTCCCATCAGTAACTTGAAGGTGTCTAAATATATTGTAATGAATGCACTGTAGGCACATTGGAGGCAGAAAGTATGCAAAAGATTCATTCCTTAGCTGACTGCCACTACAGATATTAGATCCAGTTCTCCCGAGAGATTTAAATGGAAGCTAGTCAGGCATTACAGAATGAGCAACTTTCAAACACAAGTTCATAAGGCTTAATCTTCAGTGTGACAGGAAGCTGATTTTTATCACTCAAAAACTGGAGGTAATTAGAAGTTCTGACTAGTATCCCCCCTATTCTGAGCCACAGACAGCCTTTATGTTTGGACGTTTTATAGGAACCGATTAGGAATGCAAGAGGCTAACTATTATCCACACTGGGGATGTTTAAGTTGTACTCTTACTGCCTGCATTATATTTCTAGCATTTTAGAATATTCATCTACTGGAAGCCTCAGATGGACAGAACAAGACTTCGATATGCCAATACAGGGACAGTGTTTTGCCCACATTGAAAGGGGTAAATGTTTTTCCCCATAGTTCTCTTAAGGGTCACGGGAGGACATATACTAACCTGCTCCCGTGACCCAAAGTTCAGTATATAGCGAGCTATTGCCCACGATATACTAAGAGTGCCTCAGATGGGATGCATCCCAACAATACTGTCTGGATCCACCCAGCTGTGTGAGGGACAGCTGGCTCTGCCTATCTAGCGGCAGAGCCAGCTTTGCCCGCCCCCTTCCCCGTTCTTTCCTCCACTCAGTGATGGAGGATAGGAGTTGGGGGAATCCCTGTGGGGAGCGGTGACTCTGCTGGGAGACGATCGGAAAGTGAGATCGGTGCATGTTTCTGCTCACTTCTCCATCTATAGTCGACATGTGACAGCTTCTTTGTTACAGGTCGGCTCTATGAGGATGAGTGGAAAATCACTCACCTCGTAGTTCTTTAAAAGATCACACTAATGTATAAATACAAATGCGTGAGAAATTAAGCAATTATAATGTTAAAACTGCAGAAAACTTCACTATGGGCAGCCTGAGAATAAATCAATTCACATATACATTGTTAGAATAAAAAGACTCAACTTACTTAGACAGCAGCCACTCCAGTGACATTAACTGACTTCTGCGCAGCTTCCTTGGCCTGATGGGCTTGCAGGACAGCAACTGCTTCATCAACCTGGTGAGACAGAAAATCTTAGAAATGCAACCACCACACCATGTCATGAGTTCAAAAGATAGGAAACATTTACATACCTTTGATCTAAGAGACTCTGGTGACTCAAGCATATGAAGCAACTCAGAATTGTCAATTTCCAGCAACATTCCAGTGATCTTTCCAGCTAGAGTTGGGTGCATGGCTTGGATCAGTGGGAAGAGGCGCTCACCTAAAAATAAACCATGGTTAAGCCACAGGTCCCCAAGTCTGATTTGTAAAATGTGACAAGCAGCAACTTAACATACCAAGCATTTGTTTCTGTTCTTGAGGGGGAGCTGCAGCAAGCATGGAGGCAGTCAGGGGCTCCTGACCCTGCACATGGACAGCAGGCTGAAAGGAAAAAAAAAACACTGGTCAGCAATAGTACTACTGAGAAAAACATCCGTCACCCTAGCTTATGAAAAGTTAATTTCCTTAAAAGTGAAACAGTTTTAATATCTTTTATTCAAATTAAAGCACACTATAAAGGAAATGGATTGTGAAGATCGAAGGAAAATGTAGGCTATTGACTAGAGGCAATGAGGCTTCATCTGTACAAGCCCCGTGGCAAAAATAGCAGTTACAGAAATATCGATCTAATTTAGGTCTCGGACTTTGAGGGTCAGGTTATGGTTAATCACAGTCATAAGCAGTCGTCAAGAAACCACCCAGAGAAACTTGTAATTACCTGCTGCATAGCAACTTGTGGCTGAGTGGTGAGGTGCTGCTGAGGATTGCGGACACCAGCAGCATACTTGTACTGAGGAACAGTACGAACTGCTGAAGATGCAGCTGCAGCCGCCGCAGCATTTGGAGGACGAGGACCCATCGTCTGTGTTGAAGTATTAGCTGTGGGGGGACAACAAAAAAACGAGTCATTTACTAGTCCCTGAAATTAGCTGACCTTTCCCTGCTGTTTACCATCAGTACAGTGTAGAGAACCCCTATTCCACACTACTTAATACCTATCAATATCTGCAGTTACTTTTTTTTAAATTCACGACAGTTGCTGTAAGCATCAGCTGCAGATAGCAGTATCTAAAAATATTTAAAACCTACTAGACCGCGCTTCAGTGCAACAGTGCCCGATTATGTGATAAGCTGTACTACTAAGGGAAAATACACCAACAAAACATGAACATTCGGACACTGATGAAAAAAGTATCATGTAAAAGTGCATCTATGAATCATATCAGATTCATATAAGTGCCCAAAAATATAACTCATCATTTAAGCAAAGACAAGTTACATTTATATTTTTGGCCACTTATATGAATTTCCGATGCAATCGTTTCACTAGAAACAGGTTGCACATACTTTTTCATTATTGCTTGGGTTAGCGCAGTACATGAATGTTCATGGCCTGAAAATATTGACCAAACTTCCACCACAAATGATTGAACTTACCAACACGCTGAGCTGAAACAACGCGTGGGACCTGAGAAGACGTTGGTCTCATTGTGCTGAAAGTTGGTGGACGTGGGGCAGCAGGTCGGATGGCTCCTGGCATGTTTTGGAATGCTGCAAAAAAAAAAAAAAAATTGGATTTTTTAGAAAACCAGCATTCTAATGACAAACCAAAAATCATACCAACGTCAAGCTTGTCTCAGCAGTGATCACGGAGGAGGCCATAAGCTGTGCAGGTATGATCTGGACAAACCAACATTTGTCGCTATGGAACATTTCTGTTATTGTCACTGGAAATGGGCCCAAGGCCACTCCTTAGCAGGATGAAGGGGGACTACAGTTTGGGACACTTTTTAATCTGCCCAAACTGGCCCAACATTTTGCTGCATCTGCAATCAGCTGGTATTCACACTTTGTATTTAAATACTGTAACCTGATATGGTTTTATGGCTTTTACTTGACTAAGACCAAGACAGAACAGGTTTTGTATATCAGCCATGCTGAATAAAACTGAATTACTCCTGAGCTAAAGCAAATACAAATGTGTTAATGTAAGTTAGAAAGTAAAAAAGTCACATTAAAATTCCTTACTAATATGACTGCTGAGACTCAACAGGCTTGCCTTCAAGTCCATAGATATTAACCTAGTGAAAGCATGTACTTACGGTGTGGTCTAGCACCTTGTGCAGTCCAGCGGGGGTTTGGTCTAAGCTGTGCAATCTGTCCAGCTGGATAATATGCAGCACGGTTCTGAGCCTGCAAGGACAGAAAGAATGTAACAACTATTCTAATTTCTTTACGTTGACTGTACAAAATCCGAGTGCATGAGTACATACCGGTGGTAGGGCAGCCATGAAATAACTTGATGGTGGTGGCTGGTAAGGATTGATGACTGGGTTAGGCACTGCTCTGACACTTGCCATCCTCTGCATGTACTGATTAGTCAGATGAGCCTGGCGCTCCTCTTTACGCTGAGCCAGAGCAACATAAAGGGGTTTTGTTGCCACAATTCTACCATTCATTTCCGTTACAGCTTTGGTTGCTTCTTCAGGGGAGGAGAAACAAACAAACCCGAAGCCCTTGCTGCGCCCTCCCTCCATCATAACCTGCAGGATAAAAACAACAAGATTTTAGTTCAAGGAAAGTTCTAACACCTAGACAGGGTCACAAAAAGGCAAAATGTTCTACAGAAATACTCACTTTAGCACTTGTAATGGTGCCAAAGGGTGTAAATTCTTTGCGTAGTCGCTCGTCATCTATGCCATCATCCAGATTTTTAACATAGAGATTAACACCCTAAAACAGATAAGAAATATTAGAATGACAGATATAGGCATACTCAATTTAGACTAGAATTCTTTCATTTCTTGGTAGCAAGCTTGCCTCTTACAAACATGAAAGGAACCATGTGTAATTAGAAGGCAGTTATTTGCTCATACAGCCTGTTCTTCCTGCTTAGTGATGCTACATAGTGTTTGTGCTTCAGTGTGCAAGTCAACATACTGCCTAAAACCAAACCTCTAGACAGTATCTTTATTGGCAGGTCCACAAGTTTGTGAAATAACCTTGTACACATGTAACCCAATTGTGAAACCTGTACATGTCCTCACAGTTATAAATTCACAAAGAAACTGAAATTCACATTAAACTTTATTAGTACTAGGGATGCACCGATACCAGTTTTTCGGTATCAGTACAGATATTTTGCTTTCCGTACTCGCTGATACAGAGTGCCAATACAGGTGCTTCCATTGGCATAGAGATGGCTTCACGTGCAATCAGGAAGCCGGGCCAGCATGCCATTACCCGCCGTCCTAATTGCCCGGTTAGCCAGCTCCATGTTTGGCCAGTTTGATTCTGCTGATTGGCCGGGAAGCCTGCTTCCAAAGCCAGTCAGCATGGAGCCAGCTTTCCAGCTGATCAGGAAGCTGGGAGGTGGGTCATTACTCACCTCCTGATTGCCCCAGAAGGTGGCTCCATTTCCCCTAAGGCTCTAACGGTCAGAGGAAATCTTCCTCTGACCGAACGTTATCGGGGAAGGTATCTGAGCATTTGGGTGAGTACGAGTATATGCATGGATACTATAACTGAATGGGTAGGATTTGTTTTCACATTTGTATAACTGTCGCATTATGGATCTAGGAAGAGTGATGCACACACATGCTAACACTTAATGGATGAAGGAAAAATGAATACAAAGGAGTAATATATGTGTTACTTTTAGCGCAGTGTCACTTGGTACACGAGTACCTCGCCCAAATACTCTGTACCTTTACTTTCTGAAAATCACACTATCTGAAGGACTCAGACTTAGTTTTTGATAGTGAGGGCGAGATAGAATGAAGGTCATGTTTTTATTGCCATCGCTCTCGCCCTGCTGGAGAGATCAGTCGTCACTTCTGCATCGATTACCATTTGAGAATGAAAAAAGGAAATCTCCAAGAACTCAAACAGCAATAAAAACCTGAATGGATGTAACCAGTCCTGACAAACCTGGTATCAAAGATTTGGCTGCAGTCAAGTGAAGAGCCAAGCCACTAACCTGGTATCTGGTGATCCGGTCCTGCTTCATTTGCTCAAACTTGCGTTTAAGCTCTGTCTGACGCTCAACTTTCTTCTGGGCACGGCCCACATAGATGTTTTTGCCATTCATGTCCTTCCCATTCATGTCATCAACAGCCTGACAAGAAAAAAGCCAGCAAACATTACTCGGTGCATGTAAAACCACCAAAAAACATTTACTCCCTTTGGGCTGCTAAACCTACCATAGAAAGTGTTTGAGATCTGTTTGAGAAGTGCTTTTTACTCACCTCATAGTTCTAGCCGACCTGTGACAATGAGACTGTCACAGGTCGGCTCAGTAGATCGGGAAGTGAGCGAACACATACCGGCGTTCGCTCACCTCTCGATCCTGTCACGGCTCTCTGCCGTGACAGGGGAGGGGCTAGATTCCCCCCATCCCCGCCAGCGCTGACTGGCGGAACAGACGGGGCAGGTACAGCCGGCTCTGCCTCTAGATAGGCAGAGCCAGCTGTCAAGTCACGCAGCTGGGCGGATCCCGGCACAATTGTCGGGATCTGCTTCAGCGTCTCAGTATACTGCGAGCAGCAGCTCGCAGTATACAGAGCCTAGGGTGACGGGAGGACGCTAGTTTGTGTCCTCCCGTTACCCTAAGGAGAACTATGGGGAAAAGCCTCAACACCATAGTTCTCCTTTAAAGAAATCCTCATCTGGTCAGAAATTTAGAGCTTTCCTGTGCAGACATGGAGTTCTCAAAGCGGCTATTCTGCCCTCCCAGTTTTAAGAACTACAGAATAATTTATGTTGTAGAGATCTGAGAGTAGGGAGTGGTTGAGTAGATTTATCTAGAACATATTTATACCTGTGATAGTATAAAAAAGTTCTAGTTTCAATGTGTGCCATTTTATCTTCAAGTGTTTAAAAGGAAGTTCTCCCCCCCGCCCCCCCAAGAAAAACATGGAGCAGTCATTGCAGACAGACCTATTGCATAGGTTGCCTAGCTGTCTTGCAGAATGCACATACTGACTTCCCTTCCGCATACATGACTCAGATCAATGACAAAGTACCGAAACCAGTGGATCAGCATAACATTCAGGCATTTCCAGAAATTAGAGCAACTCACATTTTTCTCAGGAAAGGTAATGCTAAGTATTTGCATATTCTTAGGCAGTAATACTGAATTAGTTTAACCACCTGCTGTCCGGCCGTTGTAATTAAGCGGCTTCTTGAAAAAATTGGCTATCACTAAGGGGGCTTGTTAGTCCACTATGTGATAGCAATAAAGCTAAGTTAAAAAAAAAGGTTTAAAAGAATTAAGTTAAAAAAACAATTAAGTCACATAAAGATAAAAAAAATTAAAACATTTTTAAGTCCCTCGCATGCATATGCAAACATGCGTCGAGTGCGTCTAGGTGCGGAAACAACGATTGCATCCATTATGTTACATATCGCCGCAAACGTCGCAGTGAGAGCAGTAATTCTAGGCCCATCAATCACTGATAACACTAAACTGATGAGCGGTAAAAGCTTTTAAAGCGTCGCCTATGACCAATTTTGGGTATGGTAGTTTGTGAGCTCGTGGACACACGCAATTTTAAAGCTTGACATGTTTGGTGTCTATTTACCGGACGTCACGCAGTCTTATATTTTGCCAAAAATGTGGGTAATAACGTAGGGAAAACAGTTTCTTTTCAGCTAAATTTCCGGTACTTTTTTCATTATATAGTAAAAAATAAAAACCCGCAGTGGTGATTAAATACCACCAAAAGAAAGCTCTATCTGTCCCCAAAAAATTGTATAAAATTCATTTCAGTACAGCGTTGCATGACGGAATAAACGTCAATGTACCGCAGCGCTGAATACTGAAATATGGCCTGGACAGGAAGGGGGTGAAAGTCCATTCTTGTCAGCTCCACTCACCCTGCTGCGCCCTCCCCAGCACTAACTTGGCAGCGTTCTAATGTAAATAGAGCTGCTCAGGTACAATAAAAGTTAAACATGCCATAATTTAAAAGGCAAAAGCTTCCATTGCAAAGTGGAGGTTAAAATAAGAACTATGAGGTGAGGGATTTACGGTCATCCTCAGAGCGGACGTGTGACATTTAAATAAGGGATAATATTGGTAGACATGCGTTGCAGAAGATATATAGAGGAGCTGGAAGTTTCACACCCCAAGTTTCAAATGCAAGAAAAAAAAAAAGGGTATTTCCACAGTGGGGTGTGCGAGGACCCAGATGGGAAAATAAAAGCATTTTTATTGATGATTCTGTATTCCGTTTTTTATCTTAAATAAGGTATAAAACGATTTATTGAATAAATGTACTTCTAAGATTTTTATACACGAGGTCTGGACTTGTTTCTTAAAAGCCCCCTTTTTTTTATTTTCCCATCTGGGTCCTCGCACACCCCACTGTGGAAATACCCTTTTTTTTTCTTGCGTGTGACATTTAAAACTGTCACACGTCGGCTCTATAGAACGGGAAGTGAGCAAACACAGTCGCTTGCTTCCCGATCATCTACCTGCAGAGCGGTGGTGACTGTCAGTCACCGCACGGATCCCTCCCACCCGATCCTCCAGCGCTGACCGGAGGAACGGAAGGAGGAGGCGGGCACTGTCAATCAGTATTGTCGGGATCTGTCCCAGCTGCGGCGCTCAGTATATATAGCCTACTATACACTGAGCTTTGGGTAATGGGAGGTTAGTATTTGTCCTCCTGTGAACTATGGGATAAAAAGGTTACCCCATAGTTCTCTTAATATTCAGACTAGCATACTATACTGCTCTAGTAAGGCTTTTAGGGACTATGAGATAATTAAATTCCCTAGTGCAAAGGCACTAAACTAAGATTGCTTACATTGTCTTATATGATCTCCACTGCAGATCACATTTTGTAAATATGGAACTATTTGGTTTACAATTAAAAAAGTTAGCAAAAAATGTAAAGCATCTCCATTTAAACCAATCGGCTTTATACACTGCTTAGACCAAACCAAAATACTTTGGAACATCCCAATTTACCTTCTGGGCATCCTCATGCCTCTCAAAACTGACAAATCCAAATCCTTTGGACTTTCCACCATCATCAGTCATGACTTTGACACTGAGTGCAGGTCCTGAAATAGAAAATTGAATTGTATTTAGCATAAAATGTGTGAATTTTACCATCCTTCACTGGCTTCTAAGTCAGTGATTTTAAATACACGTGATTAGAGCTACAACAATTATCCGATTAAGTCGAAATCCAAAATTCAAATTTCCCGCTCGCCGCTGCACGCCACGTCGGTTAAGCCGCTCGCAACGCACACGCCGGTAAACCCGCTCACGCGACCCCGCTTACGCCACGCCCACGCTGAGGACATGCATCTGGCCCTCTCCTGGTGAGCTTCCCAACTCGCCGATGCCTGCCGACAACCAAGGGCCAGGAGCTTTAATGTTTCCTGTTTTTTTTAAAGCGGCACACTGCAGAACATTAGCAGATATAGAGGAACAACAAATCCCAGCAATAATATATTAAACACCCTGTATAATGTATTATTGCTGGGATTTGCTGTTCCTCTATAGCTGCTAATGTTCTGTAGTGTGCCGCTGTATTATACATTGGAATTCTGCAAAGCTGCAACATTTGATTGAGATCGACGATGGAAAACATTGTCAACGTTTTCCTTCGATTCGTCGGCTAAAATTTAAATTTCCCGCTCGCCTGTTCGTGGCTCCATACACTAGTTACGGCTCTCTGCCGTGACAGGGGAGGGGCTGGATTCCCCCCTCCCTGCTCCGCTAGCGCTGACTGGCGGAACGGACGGAGGTGGGGGGTACAGCTGGCTCTAGAGAGGCAGAGCCAGCTGTCACTCACGCAGCTGGGCGTATCCAGACATAATTGTCGGGATCCGCTTCAGCGTCTTGGTATACCGCGAGCAGCAGCTTGCGGTATACTGAGCCTAGGGTGACGGGAGGACGCTAGTTTGTGTCCTCCCGTTACCCTGAGAACTATGGGGAAGCGCCTTAACCCCATAGTTCTCCTTTAATGATTACTGTCTAAAAAAAAAAGTGGCACACTGCAGAACACCAAATCCCAGCAATACATTAAACACCCTGTATAATGTACTATTGCTGGGATTTGTTCCTCTATAGCTGGTGGTATTCTCCATTGCGCTGTATAATGTATTATTGCTGGGATTTGTAGTTCCTCTATAACTGGTCAGTGGTAATCTGCATTGCGCAGTATATTATACAACGCAATGCAGAATGCCAGCAGTTACAGAGGACTACAAATCCCAGCAATAAATTATATACAGTGCAATGCAGAATAACGCCATCTATAGGAGGAATACATCAGATCCCATCAATAGTACATTATATACAATAGCATAGTATAATGTACTATTGCTGGCATTTGTTGTATTCCTCTATAGCTGCTGGTATTCTGCATTGTGCCGTATAATCATTATACAGCACACTGCAGAATACCACCAGCTATAGAGGACTACAAATCCCAGCAATAGTACATTATAGCATTATGTACTATTTCTGCATTCCTCTATAGCTGCTGGTATTCTGCACTGCGCAGCTGTATAATGTACTATGCTGCACACCACACTTTACTTCCACCGCGCCAAGCTTGCTCCCGTGATGGACTACAATCTCAATAGAAACTAGTAGTCCATCACTGGAGCCTTTTTTCTATCCGATTAACCGAACTTATTAATTGGCTAACTAATCGATTATAAAAATAATCGTTAGCTGCAGCCATAGATGTGATCTGGGAGCAACATTAGGGGGCAACTCACCATATTTACCAAACATTTCTTTAAGACGTTCATCATCCATGTCTTCACCGAAGTTCTTGATGTAGACATTCGTAAATTCCTTGGCTCTAGCACCGAGTTCAGCTTCCCTTTCTTTGCGAGATTTAAAACGTCCAACAAACCTGTAGAGGAAATATAAAAAAGCTTGACCCATCGTTTGCCAATACAAAAGTCCAAAGCATGCCATGTTTACACAATTACAGAAAACCTGCAATATTCTAAAGAAATTAGTGACTGTCATAAAACCTGAGTTCATCTAACTACTGTGTGCTTGAGAAAACCTTTGATACCAAGCGGTCCAATGAGCCCCGACTCCTGTTAAATTGGTACTAAGCAACACCCCCCGGTTTTATCAAGCGCTACCACCAGTTACCTTTCATGCCACAGCTTTTACTGGCTACCGAAGTCCTGTCACTAGACTAAGTAGTCGGGGTGGCAAAAGGGGAGAGTATTGCTACAAACTTTGAAATAAAGTCAGGGCCCTTGGGAGTTTAAAGGAACTTAGATGCACATTTAAGCTGCATTTGACTTCCATCCCAATCTGATAGTTACATGAGCCCCCTAAAAAAAACAAATTGATGGGCAAAAGTAACCCCCCAAAGGTATGAAAACCACTGTTTTTAGTTGAAAGGATAGAAGGCATTCAACCATCTAGAACCCATGTAGGAAAACGGAGCTCTCAACCTGCTAGGCTTCTTAGACAAGTAAATTATGCATACATTCTGCAGTCTTCACTTGTACAGGAAATAATTGCCATGTCTTAATACTTACACTTTGCGATCATTCAAAAGCATGCCATTCATTTTATCAATGGCCCTTTCAGCAGCTTCCTGGGTCTCAAAGTGGACAAATCCATAGCCCTTCGATCCATTTTCATCGCAGACAACCTGTAAAGACAGACAGTGACTACCACCTTCATATGGAGTTCACCAACTAAATTAGTTCCGAATTAACTAGTTCCAAATTTACTAACCTTGCAAGACAAGATGTTTCCAAAGGCAGAAAAAGTGTCATACAATGCCTTATTGTCAATGGACTTGTCAAGGTTCTTGATAAAGATGTTTCCAACGCCACTTTTACGCAGAGATGGATCGCGCTGGGACCACATGATGCGCACTGGTTTGCCTTTGATGACATCAAAGTTCATTGTGTCCAGAGCTCGCTCGGCTTAAATAATAATAAAATAAAAAAAATTAAGTCAGACAGAACACAACTTGTTGAAGCCATTAACGTGGATACGTGGATTGTATCTACCGTTCAGAAACACTAGAAAACAGTTTTGTTCACACATTCACTATTAGATGACGTCTATTGAACCGCACCGATTGGTAGCACCTAAACTTTCACACTAACCTTGTTAAAATTCTTCATAAATAGGGGCACTTCATTGATAGTTATAGGACAGATCCCGAGTAAAAATCCTCCTAATGGTAGCATGCACTTTCTGAAAGAGGTTTTCCTCTTTATACACCATGCCAAAATCGAAATGTGTAAATGACTCCCAAGAGGGTTTTAAAAGCATTAGCTCACACTGTGAATTTGGAGCCCAACAGTTTACTAGGTTATTGCATTGGGCTCTATGGGAAAGGAAGAGGGACTAAAATGTTAAGACTGATTGAAAAGAGAAAAAAGGGGACCTCGAAGAGTAAGGGTATCAAGAAAGGCGGGTTGCGGGCTAAGTGCACGACGCAGTGGATGTATCAACATTTGATATCAATCTATATAGAGTCAAGGCGTGAAGTCCAATAGTTTAAAGCGACATTAAACTCGGGAGTTAAATCCTAATGCATTCAAGCATCATAATCATTAACAAAAATGTATCTTATTTGTGTACATAGGAAGTAGCTGCAGGAGATCAGCAAAAAAAAAAGGTGAAAAGCATTTTTTTTTAAATGGCAATGCTTTAGCAAACGGTCATTAGATTAATGTTAGCATTACATATAATACAAACATGAAAAAATGTATCTTATTTGTGCATCACTCGGCTGTAGATCATCTCTGAATTGGTGCTGACACTGTCCTTCCTTCTGGAGGGGGGTTACTTTTATTCCCCATGGTCCGTGTGTGTGTGTTGTAAAGTACTCACCGCTCCAAGCTTGCCCCTATGATGGGACTACAATCTCAATGCAAATTAGTAAACTAAATGTGAGATTGTAGTCCAGAGGAGCAAGCTTGGAGTGGTGGCTACCAGGGATCTTCAGACACCAAGTACCTTACTCGGTACAAGTAGATACTTTTCCAGCTCCAAGACTAAAATTCAGGTTAGGAGGGACCTGTCATTTTTGAGTATATGGAGCTCCTGGGATTTGTGCATCTGTTTTAATGTATGATTTTTTTTAATGAATATATACAGGTGAAACTCGATTAGAATATCGTGCAAAGTTCATTTATTTCACTAATGCAACTTAAAAGGTGAAACTAATATATGAGATAGACATTTGCACAAAATTTAGGGGCAGCAACACTGTAGGAAGAATTGGGAGAAGTGGGCACACGGAGGGAAGGGCTAAAGGGGTTGGGGTCAATTGCCGGTAGGATACCGATAAACAACTCACTATAACGGATTCCATATTGCACTGCACTAGGTCTTAAGGCTAGAACATGACGACCATATGAGTAGGGAGTATATATCAATGTATATCAATTTATAGATATAAACCCCCGATAGAGATGCTCAATAGTAGAGATCAGGAAACAGTGGAATCTGGGACATATGTACAAGCAATTGAATGTTGGCCAGACGAAGCTCATCAAGACGGCAACAGCAATGTTAAAACTAGTTATCTTAAACAGTCACAAATATGAATTCTAGACGAGGTGGCATGGAAATAAATAATGGCCGCCTATTCTACTTCAAATATGGATCCCTTTGTCATGTATTTCGTCTGCCTAACCTTTTGTCGATTGATAAATGCCTTGTAGCCTGATGTTGCACAGCTGGGGAGAGGTAGGGCTGCCCCCACTTGACTCGATCCTTGGGGATTTCCCTGGCTCGAGCCAAGTGAGGGCAGCTCATAAATTGGAGCATGTCAGGGTGCTTAGGCGCCTTGGATGCCGTTTTTTCGTGTTATGTTCTATGTTGTAGGTATGTATGTTATGTTCTATGTGCCAGGTATGGTTATTGGGAACAGGTCAATATGGCAATGTGTTTGATTTGTGCGTTTTTTCTTTTGTTTTTTTTCCCTTTCTGGTCAGGGGTGGGAGGGTCACCTAAGCACAGTGAAGCTATCACAGGAATTCTAGGAGAAATGGTAACTTGGGGGCCTCATCGAACTTGGACAGGGAAAGCGCACCAGGTGGAAGATCTAAATAGGCAGACAGTGAAAGATGGACACTGTCCTCAGGTGAACCTCGTATTCGTATAGCAACGCATAACGTTCAAGGCCTGAATGCGCCCGTGAAAAGGCGAGTGGCGTTCAATCACTACCATTCCCAAAAAATAGATGTGTTCTCCTTCAAGAAACGCATTTCCCTCAGTTATAATCCATCTTTTATACATAAGTACTATACTCAATACTATTTAGCGAATGCGGCAGATAAATCAAAAGGGGTAGCCATACTATTTGCAAAACACATCAACTTTCTTGTACAGTTAGAAATGAAAGACCCCGAAGGACGCTACATATTGTTGAAGGGCACCATTGGGGATCAGTTGTTCACGTTTATTTCTTACTATGCCCCAAACACAGCGCAAATTGTATTCTTCACCACTCTCTTCCCTCATATAGAGGTAGTCGCTGGAGATTCCAATTTGGCTCTGGACCTTAGTATCGATAAATCACGCCCTCAGGGTAATGGATTGAAACACCCACCCAAACATGGATTGAAACTGGCAAAGCTCCTTCAAGCGCACCATCTTGTGGACGCGTGGCGAGAGTGTAACCCCTCTAAGAGGGACTACACCCACTTTTCCCACGATCATTCTACATATGCCCGTATAGATCATATATTTGTTCCTCCTCGGATGTTGGTGGGCATTAGATCTGTGCAAATTAGAAAGACCAGTTGGTCGGATCATGCTATGGTCGTGATGACCTCTTCTCTGGCTTACCCCACCCGTGGACAATATCATTGGAGACTGAATGAGGCATTTCTTAGTGACCCGAAGGTGGTGGCGGAGGTAGAGACCCTGCTGACGGAATATTTTCGTATCAACACCCCTTCAGTGTCCTCGTCCATTACCAACTGGGAGGCACATAAGGCCACCCTGAGAGGGCACTTTATCTCCATTGCGACGCGTGAGAAACATCAGCGAACCTCCCATATCTCTAAGTTAGAGGAACTAAGGGCCCTGACGAATGTACATAAACACAACCCCACAAAGGCCCTTAGAGACAATATAGATCAGACCCGGTTGGCTTTGAACTTGACACTCACAACGGTGGCAGAACGAAATCTCCGCTGGACTCAGCAGAGATTCTACTCGCACAGAGATAAGGTGGGGCATCTTTTGGCTGTGAGGCTAACTCCTAAGCCTCGGAGCCATAAGATCCCTAGGTTGAGACGTGCAAATGGAAGTTACACGCAGAATCCTAAGGTGGTGGTCTAAGAGTTCGAATCCTTCTATACACCAATACCCACGATATACCTAAATCATCAATACAGCAATGGATACGAACTTTGCCAATTCCTAGTCTAGAGGCAGAACATATAGCCTTATTGGAAGAACCAGTTACGCAAGTAGAAATCAAGCAAGCTATTAAACAGACAAAAACATCTTCAGCCCCAGGACCAGACGGTTTCTCATCTGGGTACTATAAAAAATTCGAAGAAATACTTCTCCCTCATCTTGAATCCTTTTTTTTGGCTATCGGTAAGGGAGAGCCTATGAGTTTGCATACGAATGAGGCATTCTTAAGCTTAATTCCCAAACCCAATAAAGACCAGGGGGAAATAGCCAATTACAGGCCTATATCTTTGATCAATAATGATCTAAAATTGCTCACAAAAGTGCTAGCCAATAGATTAAACTCTTTTCTATCCACCTATATACATAAAGATCAAGTGGGGTTCATAAAGGGGAGGCAAGGGCCAGATCAAATTCGGAGGGCAATTGACATATTATCTTTATTGAGATCAGGATGGGATAATACTCCAATTTCCACTGGGTTTTTCTTATCAGTGGACCTTCAAAAGGCCTTCGACTCAATATCCTGGACTTATCTTTTTACACTTTTAGAAGAATGGGGATTTGGGGCAGGGTTTATTTGCTTGCTACGGAACTTATATTCCTCACCTGTAGCCACCATTAAGATGCAGGGATTTAAATTAGTACCCTTATTTATCGGTATTGGGGCTGGACAGGGATGTCCTCTGTCACCCCTATTATTTGTATTAGCGATTGAGCCGCTGGCTATTTCCATAAGGGAAAACCCGGACATTAAAAGGAGTGTACTGTGGACCTAGAGAACACAAATGCGCCCTATTTGCAGACGACTTATTGCTGTTCCTAACCCAACCTTTGATTACACTTCCCAATGTAATGGCATCCTTGGAGAGTTTTTCGAAGATGTCGGGGCTCTATATAAATCCAGCTAAGTCCGTGGCTTTGAACATCAATTTGCCCCCAGAGATGGTGACTACACTGAAGGGTGCGTTTCTGTTCTCATGGCCGGCATCTACGATTCCCTATTTGGGGATTAATTTGACCCCCTCCTTTGACTTATTGTATCAAGCGAATTTCCCTCCCGCTTTCAGGAAACTGAGGGGGGACCTGGAGAGGTGGTCTTCATACAATCTTTCATGGTATGGGAAAATAAATGCTATCAAGATGACCCTGCTTCCTCGTCTGCTATACCTCTTTAGGGCCTTCCCTATCCACTTCCCTAGATCCGAACTGGCTTCCGTTCAGGTCTTAATAATCGGCTAACTAATCGATTTTGAAAATAATCGTTGCCTGCAGCTCTAAACCCGAGGCTTACTTAATGTCTCACTCTCGGAAGCCAACTTTAAAGTATTCTCCAGGTGGTACCTGGTGCCCTCTAGACTTGCACTTATGTACCCGGGAACATCGCCCTTATGTTTTCGGGGATGTGCGCTCGAGGGCACTATGTACCATGTATGGTGGACATGTCCGCGTATCCGAAACTTTTGGGGAGGGGTTTTTAATTTAATCTTCCGGGTCGTGGGCATAAGGGTCCCAAGAGACCCTAGGCTGGCCTTGTTTAATGATACTATCCCTGAAACTCCTAAACACACTAGAAGATTGATACATTTCATATTCCTGGCAGCTAAAGTTACGATCGCTAAAACATGGAAGACATCCAGGGTACCGCTGAGCCAGGTTAGGACTAAGCTGTCTTGGATTATGACTCATGAAAAATTGGCGAGTATACTCCAAGACAAAATGGAACAGTTTTAGCTTACCTGGGCACCGTGGGCGGCATATGTAAATCCTGTAGGAGTATGAGAGGAAGGGAGTGAAGGCTAGCCCTAGCCCACCCCGACCAGAATAATTTTAATATGTTCAAAATTAAAACCTATTGCAACAGATGCTATATAACCACATTGTTCTTTTTTTGTGTGTGTTTTTTGTTTTTTTATTTTATTTTTTATTATGTTTTTAGGTTTTGTAAGGCAGTCTCAGGTCGATGATACACTATAATAGGGATAACCTAGTAATCTGGTCTCGACTGTTCTTACACAAGCTTCTGGTAAGAATAGTCGACAAGTCCCTGGGTTTTTGACCATCGGTCGAGTGATTGCTAAACCCCAAGATAACAAGATGGGACGTAGGTATATCTTCAGGGGGTAAAATAGGAATAGTTCCGCTAAGGCCGAAGTTTGGAGCGGGAAGCTGGGCAGGGGGCCAGCTTGAGCCGAAATTAAAAACGGTAGGCTTGTGTCGACAATTGAGACCAGATACTAGAGATGGAAAAATAAGGAATCCCAAAGACTGTCTTTTTGTTGTATGTTGTTCTGTTACATTGTAGTATGTTGATGGTCATTGTATATGCCTCAATGAAAATAATAAAAACTTTTGAATCAGAGATAGACTCATTACATGCAAAGCAAGATAGTTCAAGCCGTGATTTGTCATCATTGTGATGATTATGGCTTACAGCTCATGAAAACCCCAAATCCACAACCTCAAAAAAGTAGATTACATGCAATCAATAAAACAAGGATTGTACATAGAACAATATCGGACCTCTGAAAAGTACAAGCATGCATATGTACTCAGTACTTGGTTTGGGCCCCTTTTGCAGCACTTACTGCAATTACTTTTGCACGATATTCTAATTATTCGAGATATAGCTATAGATATAGGATGCACCGATAGTTTTAAGTCCAAGTACTTACAGATGCAAGTACTGATACATTTGTTTGTCATGTGAGTTTTCCTAACAAAACTACAGACTAATGACTTTGGGACAGTGGTGGAGTGCCAAAGCCAGGTCCAAGTTACAAGCCTGGTAGTTCGTGAAAATGCCAAGTATCGGCACTGTTATCTGAACAGCGCTAGTCTACTTTACAACACAGACCATGGGGAACAAAAGTAGCCACCCTCCAGAGGGAAGGACATACTAACAATTCAGAGATGATTTGAGGTTCTACAGCCGAGTGATACACAAGATACTTTTTTATTAATAGTTAAGGTGCTTGGATGCATTTTAAGGTTTAACTCCTGAGTTTAGTGTCACTTTAACCCCTTCGTGCTAGCCCCTCTATGTGATAGCAGTCAAAGTAAAGTTAAAAAAAAAAAGCTTTTTCAATTAAAATCAATCTAATAATAATAAAAAAGTTTTTTAAAGTCCCCCGCGTCGCCACGTAAACACGCGTCGGGTGCGCCTACGTATGAAAACGACGAACGCGGTACACATGTTGGGTATCGTCGCGCACGCCGGAGTGAGAGCAATAATTCTAGGGCCAGTATTTTGGGGTATCTCTAAATTGATGACTTGTGGGGGCTTTTAAAGCGTCTTCTATTGACTTTTTGGGGTACTGCAGTTTTTCGCCGTTTCACGGACGCACGCAATTTGTAACCTATGCATGTTGGGTATCGTTTTACTCGTTGTAACCTCATCTTTTATATGTCATTTAAAAAATTGGTATTTTGTTGTGTTTTGGGGCATTAAATTAAATTTTTCACTAAATGTTGGGGTTTAATAAGGAGTTGCGCTAATATTGCGCAACATTCAGAAAATATATAATGTTGGGGGGTTTTACGTCATTTTCAGGCCTAAAATGTGGAATATAACATGGGTGCAAAAAATGAAAAAAGGGCCTCAGTCATGAAGGGGTTAAGGTAGTTTACAGTAGAGAACGGGCTAAAGAAAATATAAGATTTCAGGAAAGTTGTCATTTTATGAGACAAGATGAAGGGTAAAAAAAAATAATAGTATAACATTAAAGGCAGTCAGCTAGTCTGCGACAGTGACAAAGCCATTTGAGTAACAGTTTTGACATCTGAGCTAAATGTGATCCTGACCAGGTTTAAACAAAATTCCATAGCTCTTAATTGGGAAATGCAGAGCCAACCTGATTGGAAACATATCACAAGTGGGGATGTAGTACCAAAACGTAAGCTCATGAGAATGACATTTACTAATTTATTCCATGCTAGACAGCAGCACCAAAATGCTTGACCAGACAGGCATCACTTGCTATCCCATCCCCTGAAACTACTGACAGAGCAGAAATGTGGATGCCTACAGACTTCTGAGTCAAGCAAGATTTGGACAGGAAGCAACACATGCTAATTGAAAGGGAAGTTTCAACAGCGACTTACCATCAGCTGGCTGTTGAAAGTTGACATAAGCATAGCCAAGTGATCGTCGTGTAATCATGTCTCTGCAAACTCTGATGGACAAAATCGGCCCAGCAGGACTGAACTTTTCATAAAGCATGGCTTCTGTAACATCGGGGTGGAGGTCCCCAACGTAGAGGGATGCCATAGGGTAGCTAGGAGCACCTGGATTCATGATGACTGCTGGTTATTTGTACACAACTGAAAAATAAAAATGTAAAAACACATCAGTATAGGTGTAATGTATGTATGGGGTTAACATTAACTGGCAGTTTCACAGGAAATGATTAATACAAGTCACATGAGCAATAGCCAACAAGTTTAACACATGGAGGAAAGTTTTACATAACTATGGCTCAGAAGTATATCAAATGTCATAACAGACAAATGTTCAATGTATTCACCAATATGGCAAAGTATGAAAATAAAAGTTCACTAATTAAACTTCATGTTTGTCAGGAGGGTCGCACACATTTGAGTCAGAGCCTCAATCTGCTGCCATTAGAGGGTAGTGTGTAAATGCCATCAGCATCTACATTCAGATACCACCCTGTAGTTTATCAAGCGTTTTAAACCCCGTCAGGAAAAGTAGCAACTAAAAAAAGGCTTGAGTCCAAGAACAGTAGAAACAAGAATCCTCAAATAGTCTTGTCACTGTACAAAGCGTGTACAAAATTCCAGGGCTATTTCACAGCACAGCATTTTAGATGTGGCTAATGCCAGACTTTGTTCCCGTTCACATCTGCATGTTCCATGAATATGCATCAAGTGCACATTTTAAAAAAAATTCACGGAATGCGTCAAAACCATGCATGCGGTGCCATTACTTGTTAATGTCACCCCAAATACGGCCAGAAAAACGTGCATTTTTCCCAACACGTGGGAAAAGCCTGTAGCAGAATCTGCTACATGAGCTAATGTCCCATGTTTGTCACGCATGCGGCACCCATCGAAATCAATAAATAAAGTGCAGAAAATGCAGTAAAAACTCTAGGGGGGCAACAACTAATCGATTAGTTTATTTTTGATTAGTTGCCGTCGCTCTGCTCTTCACTGCTGGTGCTGGCTGCAGTGGTCTGTGTCCGCTTCAATCCCCGACTGTCTGCAGAGACAGCAGGGACACAGTCCGCTGCAGCCAGCACCAGCAGGGAGAAGAGACTGGCGACTCTACAATGCCCCGAAAGCCAACCGAACGCCGTACCTCTGTGGGTCCGTTCCTTCTCCTCCTCTGCCCGCCCCGTTCCTCCTGCCGTGCCTTGAACCTGTGCTCCAAGGTTAAGTCTCCTATCCAGCGGCTGAGCGCAATAGCCAGTCTATCGGCTTTTTTAAATTCCAATAGCAGGCTGGCCAACTGCCTGAACTTTCTCGTTCACTTACCTCTGCTGATTGACAGCAGGCAGTGGACAGGTGCAATAGCCCTAAAAAATCATGTGAATTTGGAGGATTTTACAGGTGTTACTAGTCATATAGAGCAGGGGTGCCCACAATTTTTCATCTGGAGATCCACTTTTCAAATGACGAGCTCAATGAGATCTACTAACGGAAAAACACCTGCATGGCAGTGCATTGAAGTCTATTGTCAGTGAAGCCGTACGAGCACCGCGGGAGGACAGGACACAGGTCAGTGAGCCGATCGCGATCTACCAGTGTTCGCTTTGCGACCTCAGATCACACTGCAAACACACCCATGAGGGTGTAGGCCAGGGGTGGACAACTCCGACCCTCCAGCTGTTCTAAAAACTACAAGACCCATGAGGCATTGCAAGACTAAGTTGCAGGCATGACAACCAGAGGCATTTTGGGATTTGTAATTAAAGTACAGCTGGAGGGACAGAGTTACCCACTCCTGGTGTAGGCACATGTGTATAGGTACCTGCTATTCTTCAGGAGGCATACAAGGTATAGGTGCAGTAAACAAGGTACTGCTTAAACACATTTTACGATGTTCCCTATATCCCAGCAAATCTTCACCTTTGAGTTCCATTCCACTTTATTGTAATCTTCTGTTTATCTAAACATAAATGGAACTCAGCTTACCAGTCCTTACTTATAGCAGTTGCATTAGTTCTTCTACAGGCCAAAAAAAATCCTGTTCATCCTGCCAGAAACCCAGTGACCTTGTAACTTCCTGTACAGTATACTGACACCTATAATTAACCAGCCTGCCCAATTCTCGTCTGAACTAAAAAAAGAGGGAGCCACCATATAAGGTATATAAAGATGAATGTCAGGCAAAAAAACATTCACTAAAATATATTCTATAGCCAGCAAGGATATAAATCCACAGCATGCAAACCCAGATATAGTACCGTGTTTCCCCGAAAATAAGACTCATTTTTTTGGGCTAAAAAAAAAAAACACAATAGGTCTTATTTTCGGGGTAGGTCTTATTTGTTTTTAATGTACAAGAATCCAAAGTTAATGCAAATCCAAATGAAATAATCCAAAATGGCAAAGTTAAGAAAAGGGTGATCAGGGCAATCAGGGGGTGCCATACCTTTACAAAAGCAATTTGGTAACCAGAATGAGCGAAGTGCGCTTTCACTGTCGATTCCTCACAGGCGGAGTGCATTTGGTAACACTCCGCCTGTGACAGGAGGCAGCGCTATAGAGGAAGCGTCGGCTTATGCAGCTCTGCTCCCACTGCTGCTGCCTCGCTTCCTCTAGCGCTGCCTTTGTTGGCACCTCTGACTCTCTCCTGCGGCTCTTCTAGTTCCCCCTTATGCCACCACCGGCCCTGGGAATGGTCACAGCTAGGTCTTATTTTCGGGGTAGGTCTTATATTTTAGCAATTCCCAAAATAGTACTAGGTCTTATTTTCGGGAAAATAGGGTAGACGTTACATCACTGTGCAGAAAACAGCTGTGGGAGGAACCCACCTAAAGCTGGCCATACACCTATAGATTATCTGCAGATTTTCTAGGGTCAGATGGAAAAAGTGCAACAGATTCCTCCATCTACGCTAAACTGAGTGGTTGGAGGAATCTCCCACTGGGCCAAGCTTCAGTATCTTGCTAGTCGGCTAGTTGTCCCATGCAATTAATGCACTGTACTACGCAATCGCACCTACTGTGCATTCTAGTGTGGGAGGCATGTTGCGTTACCATTCATCTGAACACAAATAGTAAAGTATATCACCAGCAGCACACCAAAGTAAAATCTTCAACAAGTGGTCATTTTATTTATGTACACACATCTCGTCATAAAGCAACATTTCGGGGCCACTCAGGGTCCCTTCATCAGGCATGACCCTGAGTGGCCCCAAAACACTTGTATTTGAAGTGGCGCCGTCCACTATGACTGCAGCACCCACTTTAAGAAAGGGACATACCAGTAAGGAGTGTGGTAGAAACCTCGTTGGACCATTCATTTGAATGGTACACCAAATGCACCTCCCACTCACACTCCAGTCGCCCACACAGGAATGTGTCGTACTGTAATGCCATTGCAGTGCAACTTGGGCCACGACTTAATGAGCAAGGACAAATGTGGGTCCTGAGGTTACACAGGTTAAGTACCAAGGTGTAAAGCAGACCTAGTGCCCAAAATTCAAATATTGCAATTGACTAATCCCTAGATACTGATAACACGGTCACCCCACTTTTTTTTCCCACCTTGTAATCCTGCAAACATACTTCCTGTTCAGGTACACTCACCCCTCCACTATCTATGGAGAAAACCATGGCTGCCACCCAGAATGGACCTAAAACATTTGTTTGTTCCCGTTACAGTCCCCGATCACACCATCACGTCCGTGAACATGCACAAAAAACACATGTTGTGCCATTACTTAATGGCACCCCAAACACAGCCGGGAAAATATGCATTTTCCCCATGCATGGACAAATAAACTGTGCACAAACATGATGGGAAAAAAAGGATGGTGCACCTGTAGAAGAATTGAAGCTACTTTCCTGTGTTTGCCATGAATCACCCATTGAGCTAATGCGTAACAAATGGGAAAAACCGCACACAAACACATGGTGCAAAGTAGTGTGAACATGGCCACAGAACCTGATGGGAATCATGATTTACAAGACAGAAAATACTTTATGCTTCCTGTTCATCACAGGAACTTACAAGGGCACAGCATCTCAGGCAAATTAACATGAATTTTCTGCACTTAAAAATGATCATTACCTAAAAAAAGGCTAATGCAGCCACACCATCTAAATTCCAGTGACTTCACAGGGAAATAATCTGTTGGTGGAAGTGTAATCCCCTAGACATGCCCATACTGTGCCATGAATCCCATTTCTTACATCTGTTAAGCTTTAGATACACAAGCTGACGTTTACATGATTACATTAGCATGTCAGGAATATCAGAGGTTTGTGAGGTGTCGCGCACCACAACACCACAAACCTCTAAAAAAAAATCTTAATTTTCTGTGAGGCCTACTTCAGTGACCCCTGAAACCTTATAAACATGTCCTACTCCAATACTGATCCAGTTGTGACAGACAGCCAACAACCCTCTTCCCTTCATCTGTTGCTGTTCCTACACATGAAATAAGCCCTAAAAAACATAACTGGTACAAAGTTCTAGTATTGAAGATAGAGCTGCAGCTAACGATTATTTTCAAAATCGATTAGTTAGCCGATTATTAAGTTCGATTAATCGGTTAATCGGATAAACAATAAAATAACGTTTAAAAAATGGCTCCAGTGATGGTACTACTAGTTTGTATTGAGGTTGTAGTCCATCACAGGAGCAAGCTTGGAGCGGTGGAAGTAAAAAAGAAAAAAGATAGTGTGGTGTGCAATATAGTTAAATGGAAAGTGTAAAATTATACAGCAATGAATGCAGAATGGCACCTGCTATAGAGGACTACAAAACCCAGCAATAGTACATTATACAGCGCAATGCAGAATACCACCAGCTATAGAGGAATACAACAAATCCCACAAAATAGTACATTATAGCTGGCGGCATTCTGCATTGCACTGTATAATGTATTATTGCTGGGACTTGTAGTCCTCTATACAGCGCAATGCAGAATATCACCAGCTATAGAGGAGTACAACAAATCCCAGCAATAGTACATTATACATACAGTGTATAATGTATTGCTGGGATTTGTATTCCTATGTAGAATATACAGCACAATGTACCATCAGCTATAGAGAAATACAAATCCCAGCAATACATTATAGAGCACCATGTGTGGGAAAGTGCAGGCTTACAGCAACTTGCTTCTGAGATCGGACCTGTCTATCGGCGATTGTCATCCCCCCACACCTGCTCCTCCTTACTACATCTCCCCGCGTCCCTGTGCCGATCGTGGATGTGGATGGGCAGGAAATGTGAGGCGGGGAGGAGGTGCGGCGTGTGGAGCGTGGATGCTAGCGGGTCTGGCAGTGGCGAGCGTGAGGAGGTTGCCGCGCACAGCGCGTGGAGCTCTGAACAGGGACAACTGATTGGAAGCCGATTATTCGATTATTGAAAAAGTTGACAACTTTTTCAATAATCGATTATAATCGATTATGTCGATTAGTTGTTGCAGCCCTAATTGAAGAACTAATGCCAAAGTTACAAACATCTGAGCAGTAAACTCCATCTGACTGGCAGCAGCTTACGAATCTGCATGATGTATGCCTCAGCTGGCACAACAAACGTGCAACACCACAAGATTCAATTACCAAGTTTTTGTATACTAGATTACACTATATTCCTGCACCAACTAAAACATTTTACAGTTCCTTTCATTAATGCTTTAATCCAATAGTCAAAGATCAGACTGTTTAGCTCACAAATAGGCATTTAAAATAGGATCAGGACACAACCGAAAAAGTACACCTGCAAGCAGTAAAGTAGGGGGCCCTACAGGAGTAACTATGGGGGAGGGATACAAGTAGTCTGGCATCAACTTTCAAATCCTATGCTGGATTCACACCTATGCATTTTCCCACCAATTAGTTCCCCACCCTAGGAAGAGACTACAGAGCACCTGAGTGAACAGGATGTTATTGTCTCACTGGAATTCTAGCATGATTAACAGTTCCTGCAGACACTGGGTATTTAGTGGAACATTGACCCCTTAAATCTTGCTCTGGGGAAAAGTTTACAATGTGAATCTTCTCCCACTTTCTCACGCGAAATACAAAATTTTAAAACAAAGTTTGCCAAGAGATGAACGTAAACGCTGTAAGCTCATTGTCTGCCGGCTCTGTTCATTTGAAGATTTTCTGACCGACTCCTTCGATCAGCTGATCAAGGGAAGCCAGCTCAAAGAGTGCCAAAAGCAGCACCCACTGAATTTTGCATGTTGTATTCTCCCCCACATTTTTGCCAACCTTTTTTTAACACTACCTGCCTCTCCAGTCAATCACTAGACTGACCCTCTCCAACAACTGGGTGCCTACTGTTCATTAATATCACTATGCTAATCTACACCCCCCAACAGTGCACCCACCTCACCTCCCCCTACAACCACCAGTGCACCCATCTCTCCCCCAAACCCAGATTGTCCACTTACCCACCCAACACAAGAGCATCTGCTCCTCACCCCCCACTGCCAACAGGGTGGCCAATTCTGCTGCCAGACACCCCCAAAGTCCACACTTCTTCCCACAGAGCACCTGCTTCTGCCCCAACAAATCGCATACTTCTCCCCCCAAAACCAAGCTCTTCACACTGGTTGACACCGGCTGGAGAGGCATGTAGTGTAAAGTAGGTTTATATCAAAGGGCAAGACCACAGGCCAATCTCACCACCCCCCCAAAAAAAAAACACCAGAGCACTTGCTTATATCCCAATACAACCTATAGCTTAACAATGTAAATACATATAAAACGCCCCCGGAATTTTGGGGCACAACTCATCAACCCAAAGGCCGAATTCGGCAGGTTTCCTTCTGTAAATGCATATTCTGCGACAGCCCCCGACATGGAGGATCTGATCTGCTGATCGATCCTCAGGAAGCTCCTGACACAGCCCTGATCCCTCTGTACACAGGCCGAGTACACATACGGCAGCTCGGTATAAGGAAGGAGCGACCAGCGGCTCTCGGGAGCTCCGTGCTGCTCTATGGAGCCCGTCAGACCCGAACGACACCCATCCCCCCCCCTTAAACTGCGTAGTCCTAGAGTTGTCGGCTCCTCCGGCACTGTTGTCGCTTACGTGCAGTCGGTGTGCCCGGGCCTAGTTCATCCTGCTGTAGTCCGAATCCCCAGGCTACTAGGCCCTGGCCCCCTCACCTGCAGTCGGTGTCCCCAAGCTGTCGGAATGCATCCCAAGGCCTAGTCCTCACTCAATCACAGTGGGAGCGGACCAAGGCCCTGTCCCTCACCAGTAGAGAGTGTTGCCTGGGTTACCCCTCAGCAGTACACGGGGTGTTACTAGGCCTGGATTCACCCTCACATCTAGACGAAGCGTCTCTAGACCGCAAGGCCCGCTCACCTCTCGTCGAAGTACTTCCAGCCCCGGATCTACTCAGCTGTACCGGTAGTGTCTCCTGCGCCGGTGCCCCCTCGCCTGTAGTCGTAGTGTCCCCCACTCGCCTGTAATAGTGTACCCAGCCCCGGTGCCCCCTCACCGGTAGTCGTAGGGTCCCCCCTCACCGGTAGTCGTGGTCCCCCTCACCGGTAGTCGTGGTCCCCCTCACCGGTAGTCGTAGTGTCCCCCAGGCCTGGTCCCCCCCTCACCTGCAGTCGTAGTGTCCCCAAGCCCGGTTCCCACTCCCAGGTAGTCGTAGTGTCCCCAAGCCCGGTTCCCACTCCCCGGCAGTCGAAGTGTCCCCAGCCCGGTGCCCTCTTACCTGTAGTCGGTGTCCTGGGGTCTCTTCTGGTTTCTCTTTATGGTATTTTCCGTTACTTATTCCGCTTTTTTTTTTCTTTTGTATTTTACACGGTGTGCTCGAGCATTAAAATCAGAAGGGGAGACAGAGAAGGGCGGAGGAGGAGGGGCGGCGGGAAACGGCTCTTCTTCGCTTTAAAATCAAACGCAAAGAAAAAAAATAAAACGTCGCGTATGAGGGGAGAGAAAAGGACGGGGATTTTTCTGGGTTTTTCGAGGGATTTTGTGATTTTTTTTTATTTTTTAAATTTTTTTAATGAATAAGAAATGTGTGCCGAGGCCAGGCTCCGGAGCACACACTCACACACAGCACTAACAGCCGGGGTAGAGGGGAAAAGGCCGCAGCCCTTCGGCGCGCTATTTATAGGGACGCACGCACGCACGGCGTGCGCTGACGCGAATGACGATTGGGGAAGGGCCCGCTGTAAGCCTCGTGACTAATAGAGGGGGGCGTGGTCGAGTGGAAAAGGAGCTGTATAGCCCCGCCTATGGGTGGCAGTGGGCGTGGCCTGGGGATGCGAAGTGGCGGCCATTTTGTGGATGGAATGAGCGACGACATTGCAAACTGGAAGGGAAAAATACTGGGTTGCCTAGTTTTCTTACCGTATTATCAATGCACGGAAGGCTAGGACCGCTCTATATGGATAAAGGTTTGGGCAGGGTGAGGGAGACGGCAGTAGAAGACGAGCGCGACGGAGGAATAGGGCATGCTGGGAAATGTAGTTTGGAGCACTTCAGAGTTGGTAGGCGGGGTTTGTTAGTACCACGTGTGCAGCACATGGTATGAGCTCAGTGGAGAAAATGGAGTTCTATGGGAACGTTGATGATGTGTACGTTATATTCTCTTACACTGGTGTAAAATGTCATTGCAGCAAACGCTAGCTGTGTGATAAACACCTCATACAAGAGTTTTGTTGCTGGTTCTCTCAGGCGCATTTCCTCATTTGCTGTCCCGGTGACACATGTTGGGACAGGAAGTGACTCGTTTCTGTAGTGACCACAGCTTGAGACTGAAACCTCAACATTTCCCCACTCATATAATTATAGGTGTCTGTGTTCATGTTGGAGAGACAATAAGTACTTATCCTTGTTGCACTCTTTACCAAAAAAGTCCCTTGGGGGGGGTCGGGGTGGTTGCTCGCAGTGACTGCGGATGGCGCAGCAAATATCAGCAAATTGTTGAAATGTCACCAGCCCACCAATCCTTTTAGAATAGCAAAAGCTTCATTTATTGAACTTCCTTGTCGCATGAACAAGCGATTTCAGGGCCACACAGGGTCCCTTCATCAGGCTTTAGCATTAGGGACCCTGTGTGGCTCCCGAAAGCACTCGTTAATGCGACACAAAACTTCAATAAATGAAGCTTTTGCTATTCTAAAATGATTGGTGGGCTGGTGACATTTCTACAACATGTTGGAGAGGCTTTGCATTGATTTCCATAGCATCACTACCCAGATAGCAAGGATAACTTGCAGCCACAAACTTGCAGCAGGGTTAAATTGTAATTCTGGTTAACTTGCTGCACACATTCTTGGCAAGTTGTAGACTTGCAGAACACTCGCAGCACAGGTTCTAGTTGACACATTTTGAATTTGTAGCAAATTTTCTTGGCAAGTCTACAGCAAGAGTCCTGCAGGTCTTAGCAAGAGCTCTGCAAGTGTACAACACTTTTGCAAAGCACGTTGATCTGGAGACTTGCAATGAGTTGCTGTAATTGTGCAACACAATTGTGAAGCTGGCGGTCCCTTCTTCGGGACACAGAAGCGATCTGGTGACAGGTAAGTCGCCAGGATCGCTTCTGTTGTAAAGCCGACAGTCGGCTCTACAAGTTTAAACAGAGTCCCGGTGGCAAAAGTCGCCGGGAGTCTGTTTAAACAGCCTCGATGCTGGCGACGTACACTGTCGTCAGTCACGAAGGGGTTAACAAGTCATTTTCAAACTTGCAGCTCAATTGCTTGCTATCTGGGTAACTACACGTACCATAAAAATTGCAATGTTTGCAACCTGCATGGCGGTGGAACCCCCAACATGCTTGCTGGGCTCTCATCCTCACTCTGTTCAATTTTAACCACCTTTCAACCAGGAGCCAAAAATTCCCAAGCAGAAGCCTGGTCCAGGTCCTTCGATGTTGCTGGCTCAAGAGAGTCACTGCAATCCCGTTATACCTCCTCACCAAATCCTGGCCAATACTCATCTCCTGGCGTCCTCTGGGTAAGACGTTTGTGGAGCCCAGTCTTTGCTCCAAACTCCTTAGGTGGGACATGGCTCCAAACTTTCTGGCCACCCTGGAATGCAATGTACCTCTGACTTACATCACCACTGCTAGCAGTGGCCCTCAAGCTTGTACTGACTTGTATGTCTGCCTGGGCTGGACTACCTCTGCCAGTTCCTGATGTAGCTCAACACTGTATTTCCGTGGATTTTATTTTCAACCTTCCTCCCTCAGCAGGCTCCACTGTAATTTGGGTAGTAGTGGATCACTTCCTCCAAAATGTGTCACTTGACTCCTCTTCCAGGCCTACCTTTGGCTCCCAGTCTTGACATGATTTTTCATTAAGAAAATCTTGTCTCCACGGTATGCCCTCACACATTAGGCACAATCCACAAAGGGAACATACAATGATAATGGAGTGGTGGTTTAGGGCCAACTCTGCCCGGAGCAAAACGTCAACCCAGTCATCCTGATGAGATTAAATAAGGCTACGAAGGTAGCATTAAACATTTTGATTGACCTATTCAGTCTGCCCATTGGACTGGGGATGAAAGGCTCAAGAGAAATTTGATTTCAAAGGTGCTAGCCAAGGCTCCAAAAGCCAGCCGTAAATTGCATTACTCATCAGAGACAATAGGCTACATTCACAGAGCTTTAAAACAAGGATAAGGAACTTTCTTTTAACCATGTGACCCTAATTTTCAAATCTTATTGGATGGAACAGGAAATAACTCACTTTTTTTGAAAATCAGGTTCCTTGTCAGTACTGGGAAATCCCCCTTTTTCATGGTCTATCGTCAATATCCTTCGGTTCCCGTTACCATCGCTCCTCTTGTAGCTGCAGCAGCTAAGACCCGAAAGACCTTCAACTCTATCTGGACAAAGGTCTTCAAGAATCTTTATCTGGCAGTTTCCAGGTATAAAGCAGCAGAAGATTGCCAATGTTGTCCTGGTCCCAAATTCCTACCTGGTAAAAGGGTTTGGCTTTCTACCAGACACACCCACCTCCGAGTACCCTTGATGGAATTCACTCCATGCTTCATCACCCAGGCCACATTCTTGGAATTGTGACCGATGGTTATTTTCTTTTCTCCCTTGGGAATCAGTGTACTATCCATGATATAAAATATTCAAATACAATATGCTTAAAGTGTACGTAAGGCCACATTTTTTAAAATTTGATTAAAATGTAGAAGGATTAGAACCCTTGTTCGCTGCTATAGAGGCGGCAGATCGCTTGTATAAGGTGCCGACCGTGCGCCCACCCGTCAGCTGGTCCCTGTCAGAACGGTCCCCCTCCGCTGGTCCCGAGCTCCTTTGTGCCCGGTGGGACCAGCATGGTGGCTCTGTGACAGGGGATCAGAGGGAGATCGGTACACGAGCTCCCTCCGGTGTCAGAATGCGTAAGTAATGTATATTACGGCTCCATAAAGAGGACCTGTCATAACTCTTTGCTATCACATAGGGGGGGGGTTCTTAGCCCGCTATGTGAAAACAATAGCGTTAAGTGAAACAAAATAGTAAAAAAAAATGTAAGTTGCAAAAAAAAAGTCACACATGAAAAAGAATTTAAAAAAACACAAACATGTTTTAAAGTCCCCATCCGTACATACACGCGTGCAAACATGCGTTGGGTACGCATACGTGCGAAAATGACAATTGTGCCCATTACGCCGCACGTGTTACACATCACTGCGAACGTCGCAGTGAGAGCAGTAATTCTAGGGCCATCAATCACTGATAACACTAAACTGATGAGCGGTAAAAGCTTTAAAAGCGTCACCTATGGTAAATTTTAGGCATGGTAGTTTTTTGCAATTTCGAGGGTGCGCGCAATTTTAAGGCTTGACATGTTTGGTGTCTATTTACCCGACATGACCCGATCTTTTATATTTTACCAAAAAATTGGGTAATAATAATTGTTTCCTAACATAATGTAAAAAAAAACAACGTTTTTTTCAAAATTTTCAGTAATTTTTCCTTAATATAGTAAAAAATAAAAACCCCAGTAGTGAATAAATACCACCAAAAGAAAGCTCTATGTGTCCCCACAAAATGGTATAAAATTCATTTCAGTACAGCATTGCATGACGGAATAAACGTCAGTCAAAGTACCGCAGCGCTAAATACTGAAAAATGGCCGTGACAGGAAGGGGGTGTAAACACCTGGTCAGCAAGTGGTTAAGCTGATCCTGCTCCTGTTCACAGGCTATAGCTTCTATTTACCCTTAACTGCTGATAATATGGAAACGAGTACACGGCTTTCATTTGAGTCCTTTTGAAGTTCTGTGAGAAAAACACCTTCTGGAGGTGAGAGACCTTGGAATATTTTAAGATTCCTGCATAATTATGCATGCAGAGACCACACCTGGAAATGTTACCTAATGCTAACACATGTAGTTTCAGCAATGCTAAGTGACAACACGTTTGCAATGCAAAAAGAAAAAAAAAAGAAGGGGCCACTGGCACTCCATTATGCTGATCAATACACCTTTATTGACGCATGCTCAGTATCACATAACATGACGTTTCGGGGGCCACGCAGGGTCCCCTTCATCAGGCAAAACAGGGATAACGAGTGCAAACACAGTGAATATAAATAAAGTAGTGTAGAATACATCAACCAATCAGAAAGCATCCCAACCCCTCATGATGTCACTATGATGTCATTTCCCCTCCAAAATTAATGTAGAAATGTAGAGGAGAAACAAAATCAATGAATATGGTGCATATATATCCAATATAACTGTCACACAGGCTGTCATTTTTAGCGAGCATTGGCTGCCTGGCACCTGGGATATGTCCAGCCCTGGTATAGGGCTCTCTGGTTGGTATAAGTTCATGTTGTATATTTTACTTTATGTATATTTCTTTATTTTTTAG